AGCCCAAGGAATTTACGAAGACCTTTGACATCGACCGGCACAGGCCAGTCGGTGATCGCCTTGATCTTTTCGGGATCAGGACGTACACCGTTCTTACCAACGATGCACCCAAGAAGTGGTATTTCGCTTGCCGCAAATATACACTTCTTGAGATTGGCATACAATTGATGCTTTCGCATGATTGTAAGAACCTGTCGGACGTGGTATCTGTGAACCTCAACGTCCGACTTTCCATCCATAGCCCGACTATGGATGAATACGTCATCGAAATAACTCGGTGCAAATTCTCGCACTGGTCTCAACAGATGGGATACACATCTGTTGAACGTGGCAGGGGCATTACTAAGCCCTTGTGGCATTACTAGCCATTCCCAGAGCATGCCGCTAGGCGTGCTAACTGTGGTATAAGGCATGTCCCGTTCTAGAGGAGCATCCATCAAATCCATGGACGAAAAGATGGTACTCTTTGACATACCATCAATGATTACGTCCTTCCTCAGTATCGGCGTCTGAGCCGGTACCGTTGCAGCATTCAACTTATTAATTGCATGCACTATCCGCCACCCTCCTGTTGCTTTTCGCACACAGAAGGTCGGAGAGCTATGTAATGAAGTTGGTTCCCTTACATGGCCAGCCGCTAAACGATCGGCAAATAATTTGTCGGTCGCTGTGACCTGTTCACGAAGCAGTGGACACTGCTTCATGGCATACTACTTCGAGCCCGGTTTAAGCTCGACCTCGTGTCGAATACCTTTGTCCTTCGGTAATTCGCACGGAACAGTTTCAGGGAATACATCCTTGAATTCAGCCAAATCTATATAGAGAAGATTTGTCTTGAGCGAGTCCCACGATTATTAGTCTTATCGCTCAACTCGTGTCTTTTCATCTAGGACACTCTCGTCCGTAGATGAACTACTGAGAACTCTCTCGTTCTCAGTAAACATTGTTGCTGACCTTATGTCGGCTACACACTCGTCGTCAGCGACGAGTAAGCAGATCTGCTTAACTTTGCCACTACACAGATCACGCAAGAACCTTTTATGTTCAAGCGTTGGCAACTGAGTGGTCTCCGAAGTCAACTTCGGAGGCGTAATTAGATCAAGTGTGTAAGCGCCAACACTTGATCCATCACCGACTAGGACATTCAATGTCTCTTTCATTTCCTGGGGACTTATTCCCTCAGGCTTCGAAGGACTTATTCCTTCGGCTTCCCGGGGACTTATTCCCTCGGGTTTAGGGGAACTTATTTCCACCGTATCTGTAATATCGGGACCTTTTCCCTTTAACTTCCTCTAGCTGGGGTTGCGCAACCACAGCGAGATCCTCTACGAAAGACTCTCCAGTCGATCTAGGATTATCGTTTCGCTTAACCTGAGCGATCGATTGTTTCTCTTCTAGATGTTCCCCGCTAGGGATACATCTTCGTCCCGGTCCACTCGACTTATTCGAGTGGTGGACCTTCGGCGCAGCCTGTGTTTCCTCACAGCCGCCGGAACTTTGCTCCGAAGTGTAACTGTCTGTTACACTAAGGTTTCGTGCAGTCGTACTAACGACCGTACCACAAGTGAGGCCATCGCACTCACTCGTAGTACATCCACACGCTTGTGGACGCTCCAAAACGTTCATCAGATGGCCATCTGATGAACAAGCGGCAGGCATCGTTACCGTTCGATGTTGCCAGTTTACCCGTGGTTCGTACCTTCTGAGCCACGGTATTCCAAGGATGACATCAAATTTGTCATCCAAATCCAATACGATAAAGTCATCGTCATATTGGGTATCTTCTAGCGTATAGTGGATCTTCACTATACGCTTCATGACGGTTACGGATGCGCCTGTCGCAAGACGTACCGTCATCCTCGTAGGAGGTGTGTCCCATTCAACAAACTTGAAGTGACCATCTTCTAGCGATTGGCGTCGCACAAAATTGTTGGACGCCCCACAATCGACTAGAGCTCGAAGGGACAATTTATTTGTCTCTTCGAGTTTCAAGGTAATGAGTGAGATCTCATTACCTAGAGCAGCAACGCACAACGTTTGTGTATTGGGAGCAACCTTCATCAAGAGGCCTACAAATTCTCTTGACGTTGCTAGACCAGTAGGGTGCTCCGCACCTACTGATCCTGTCCGTTTTTTGACGGTCCATCCCGTTGTTGCGTCTTTGCACCAACAGCGGACCCTCGTCCCTGCCCCTTTCTCATGGGTGGACGGTCACTACGCCCAGTGTTGCGAGACACTGGAAGAGGGGCACTACACTCGTAAGCGTAGTGTCCTGTCTTCTGACATCTGTTGCATTTCTGCAACTTCTTGTAGTCTGTAGAGCGAGCCTTCTCGCTCTCTACATAACAGAGTTCCATCGGCTCTGGACTGTCGCTGTCATATAGTCTTGGTGGACGATATGATGTCGAGCTGGCGCGAGCCTGTCTCAGACTGAAGTCTTCCTGTTCCGCAATGGAAATGGCTTGTTCTAGTGAATCTAGTTCAAGTCGGAACGGGTGAGTATTGACAGGACCATCCGCAAGACCCTACATGAACACCGAAACCAACGTGTGTTCATCCACCAGATTGGAACTTATACAACTCGTGAGATGTCGTATATGTTGAGCGTAAGCGTGCACATCACGCTTACCTTGTTTGAGCTTCAAGAGTTCAGTTCGAGCTCTGAACTCAGCTCTAGGCGGTTCAAACGTTTGTCTGAGCCGCGACTTGAAGACTTCCAACGACCCAAACGCATATGGGTCGTGCAACTTGAGCCCCAGTGCCCAAGTCTTGGCACGTCCTGCCAGATTTGACTGGGCAAATACAACTTGCATATCCCCATCGTCGATGCGACTCGCCCTTATGGCGTCATCCAATTCGACCAATCATCTCAAGAGGGAGTCCTCTTCGACGCCCCTATACTTGGAGATGTCAATCTTCAAGGTTTCGGGTCGACGCGAGTGCATCGACCCGCCAGCAGCAGCCTGCTGCTGTCTCAACAGTTCAAACTGTTGAGCACCCTGTTCTCTCAACAACTCTGATTGTTGAGAACCTTGTTGGTGAAGCAAGGCTACTTTCTCGCGTTCAGCGTCAAGTTCATTTCGAATGAACTTGACGATAGTAGCATGCTGGGCATCTCTATTGAGAGCCTCTAGCATGACGCTAACAGCACGGATACCCATGGTTGAACCCATCCGTTCAACCGCATCCCATTCGACATTGCTCAAATGGGAGTAGCCGTCACGCGTGGCGTGAAAGCTTTGGTCATCTTCATCATCTAACATAATCATGATAGACATGAACGTGGTCCTTGGACGGACTACAAAGTGCTACCAGGTGTAACGGGGCACCCTGAAGCTTGTACTGATGACAGTACAAGCTACTTATTCTGATGACAGAATAAGGCGGTGCCGCGTAACTTCACGTACACTGGTACGTGCAGAGGAAGAAAGTAAGAAGAAGCGAGTACTTGGTTAAAGTAAAAAGTAGAACTGTATTTATCATAGTTAATGTCTGTTAATAAACCACTATTTATCTTCATCTAACTATGTCTGAATACAAATGCGTATACCAACTATCTGCTCACCACTCATTGCGTGCGTATGTCGTGGCGCGTCTTCGTTGGTTGATATAATGGCCTACGTCAACCAATTAGGAACTACTCGTAAGTGCTACAGAATATTTGTCCTTATGACAATATTCTGAGAACAAAACTCTTATAGTTATATTCTATTAACAATTTCTTATAAATTTTTAGGTAACGGTTCACCCCGTTACAACCATCTCCTGAGTGGGTTTCTTGCTCACCACCCGTTGCGTGCGTCCAGCAGCGATTGGTGGTTGATGTAGTGTAGACATCAACCAAAAGTGGAGCACCCCAGAATATAACCCTCGAGGGTATTGTGTTTGCCAAAATTACGTCTTCGCGAGTGATGTTGATTGGATTGAATGGATAAAATTAAAAAAAATGTTGCATTCGTATCAATTTTATAAAACGGGCTCGCTCCGCAACATATTATGTGCCCACACAGAAGATAATTCGAGAGCATCACACTTTATTCATCTAGAATAACCTGGCCGCATCCTTTTTGCTCGTCTATTAGCCACAGAATGAACAATACAAGTCTATACACGTAGTGTTGCCACCCATGTAGATCAAACGCAAGATGTCCGTCTCGTTTAATAGTACCCAACTTTACATATTCAAAAATTGGAGGGTGGTGGCTAAAAAACGTTCCCTAAATAATCCACACTAATCCCTGGGACATCTGATCTCGACAATTTGATTGTAAAAAAGGTGGGGCTGGTCTAAACATCCTCCTTCGATAAGCTACGTCTTCTCTCTTGAATCCTCATGTGCACAATTATACATAAAAAGCGCTTTTGAGTCATGCTCTACGCTCCCATCATCGCCCAGACACAAAATTAGTGAGTCCTGCGTGAGGCGCTGATGAGGTTAATGTAACGGGGCATCCTGAAGCTTGTACTGATGACAGTACAAGCTACTTATTCTGATGACAGAATAAGGCGGTGCCTCGTGACTTCACGTACACTCGTACATGCAGAGGAAGACGGTAAGAAGAAGCGAGTACTCGGTTAGAGTAAAAAGTAGAACTGTATTTATAATAGTTAATGTCTGCAATAAATCACTATTTATCTTCATCTAACTATGTCTAAATACAAATGTGTAAATCAGTTATCTGCTCACCACTCATTGCGTGCGTCTGTCGTGGCGCGTCTTCGTTGGTTGATATAATGGCCTATATCAACCAATTAGGAACTACTCGTAAGTGCTACAGAATATTTGTCCTTATGATAATATTCTGAGAATATAACTCTTATAGTTATATTCTATTAACAATTTCGTATAAATTGTTATGTAACGATTCACCCCGTTACATCACCCCCCCTTAACCATCAGTCACTTTAGTGACTGATTGACTAAATGGATACTCGTCCCAAATCATTTGGGACAGGGTTTGCACTTGTTGGTCCGAGTCCACTTTCCAACATTTCATCGCATGGTTAACAAGCCCATACGATGCGCGAACAAGGCCGCTGAGAGCGCGTCCGCACGTCTCTGTGCGGACGCCGAAGCATAAACCACAGCAACTGATGTCTCATCGGTTGCTGAAGCGACTCAGCCTGTGTCACTTGGTGATACAGGCGCTGGTCATGAAGACACTCATGTCTTCACAGAGTATGAGCTCGGTGTCTCATACTCTCCTGATACGGAAGACGGATCCGTATCGACGGCAATCGAATCAAAGCCGCCTGCCAAGCGTGGCATGGATGATGCTATGCGTCGTAGCATCTTTGGTTTATCTGATGAATCAGATGAACCATCGCCGAAGCGAAGGCGCTCGAGGTCAGAAGACTCGGGCGCTAACAGTGGTGTCGGTTCTCCTATTGACACCACTTCGCAACAAAGTGCCAGTACTTCTGTCGGCACGTTGCAAGAAGAGCGGGACCGCAATGTGTTGCGTCTCGCTCCTGAAAAGAAGGCATGGCTGCCTCCAAAGTCAGTCATGGATTGCTTGTCGGCGACGACAAGTGATCGCTATCGAACACGATTGTACGATTCGTCAAGGATCATTCACCTTGACCCCAGTGCGCAAAACTATCGCGCTGAGAATCTTCATCGATGCTTTCTTTAAGCATCGATGGTACAGTGGGAATCACAAACGTGATGGTCCCTCACTTCTTCAAGCGTGGAACGCTTACATCCATAACCTTGAGGATGTAGGTCGTGACGCTTGGAACGACAAACTTATCGAAGCTCGTGATAAGTTTGAAAAGCGAACCCCGGCAGGTGCACGCTATAAGCTGCATCGTCTGTCTAAGGAGGGTGGGTTGCCCTGTCTTTCCTGGGGAGACCCGTGCCCTTGTTGTGTAAACAACTCTCCGCGCGCACCTAAGGAGGCTTGCCTTCTTACTAGCCCGTGGTGGCGCGTACGTATCTCTACTGAGATGTACAAAGGGATTGACAACCTGAAATCCCTTTACGACCGTGCCGGGAAGACTTTCTCCGGCGGTCCTTCTGTGGCACAGGATGTGCCGATTCGTACTGCTCTACCAGACCCAGTACGTCAATCATCAGTTAAGAGCGGGGCTCCCAAGTATCCCAGGACGGGGGATAGCCGCGCCATCGGACGAGATAACTCGTCCGACGTCCGTTCACGTCGCGGTGGTTCAACAGCTGCTCAACCAGATAGCGCTGGCCACCGTGAGAGCCCTCTAATGGAGGTGGAGGAGGGAAAAAGCTCTCCACACAATCGTGGGGAAGCGTGTATCCCCGAGAGCCTCTTTGATCGCGTAACGCAAGCGTTATGCGGCGATCTCGAACATGAGCGGGACAGACGTCTCCAACTGGAGGACGCTGTCTTGAAGCATCGAGCTGAGTTTGCCTTTGCTCAGCTTGAGAACGAGAGAGCTCTGACGTCTATGCGTGACGAGCTAAGGGTAGCTCGTGTGGATATTGACCGGTCTCGGGCTGAGATAACTGCTCTTCAGACCCTTGTCGATATCCACCATCGGGAGCACAAGGCTCTCTGTGAGATGCTTGAACGCAAGGACGTTCTTCATCGGAAGAAACAGCGTACTGATGGTACGGCTTAAGCCGACCAACGTAAAACGTGGGATGCGTTCGCATCTTACGTGGCAGTTCGATCGTGTATGCGTTGCCTAGGCGGTGCAATACACGAAATGGGCCGATGTACTTGGGTAGTAGTTTACTGCTACCCAAGTTAGTCACTACATGCTTTGGTAGATTAACCGTAGACAGTAGGACTAAGTCACCCTTATTGAATAAAAGAGTGTTTTCCCTTCCATTCTTGTCAGCGTTTTGCTTTTGCTTATCCACCGCTTCGGCGATGGAATCTTGCACAAAACGGACTACCGTTTCACGAGCCAGTATGAACTCATCTGATGACTCGTTAGCTTCAGTGCGCTGTGAATGCACTGCAGCGACATCAACCTTTTCTTTAGTGAGGACTTCCGCACTCTCACTGGCATCATCTTCTTCGATATCGATGTTGTCGATATCGGTATCAAACGCAATGACCTCTTCGTCAGAGCTTGATGAGCGTGAACCAAATCGTTTTTTGCTCGCGCGAGTCCCTCCCCCCTTAAACCAGAGTCACACTCTAGTAAGGTGGGTACACGCGGATGGCGCAAGCCATTCACGTAAAACGGTGTATGTGTCGTGGACGCATGCACCGAGTTGTTAATGGCAAACTCTACCATTGGCAAAAACTCACTCCAACTCGTAAAGGAGTGTACGTATCCTCGAAGTATCTCTTCGAGGACACGATTGGCTCGTTCCGTCTGACCATCTGACTCTGGATGATCAGATGTCGACATCTTCAAGCGCGTTCCGAGTGATTTGAACACGGAACGCCAGAAATCAGCAGTGAATCGTGGATCTCTGTCTGATACGAGCTCACGGGGCAACCCATGAAGTCGGAAGATGGTGTCAATGAAGACACAAGCACAGCCACTTGCTGTGATTGACTCTGGTACAGCCACAAGGTGTACCATTTTGCTGAATCTGTCAACAAATACGAGAATACCCGTATTCCCGCGTGCGTCTTTGGGTAACCCGAAGACGAAATCCATTGAGATGGATTCCCAGCACTCAGCCGGAACCGGTAGAGGCTGTAAAGGTGCACGTAGTGAAGGACTTGACTTCACTCGTTGACAGACTTCGCATGCGCGAATGTACTTTCGCACAAACTGATACTGGCGGGGCCAGTAAAAGTCTCGACTCACCGTGAGATATGTTTTCTCACGGCCACGATGTCCTCCTATAGGAGCATCGTGATACTCAAACATGATCCGCAAACGCAGATCAGTATCATCTGGAATGACAACACGTGGTGTGTCACCAGAAACGGCTGTATAATACAGTAACCCGTTGCGAGTAGTGTATCGATCTGATGCAGATCGATACGCAGACGACAATCGTTTCAACGATTCTCGAGATGGTTAAGAGAGATGTGTCAACAACTTCACTATCTCACCATCTTGGGCGTATGCCCGCCTCACATCATCATACAACGTTGTAGATGGGACTGAGGACGTCATAACCGCAACAGTGACTGCCTCACTGTTGGGTTTCGCGACTGTTTCAAAGTCGGGACGACGTGAGAGTGCATCAGCGACGACGTTAAGTCGTCCTGGCTTGTACTCAACCGTAAAGTTGTATTCTGCAAAGAATGACAACCACCGCGCCATTCGTTGTGAAAGGTGCGGGCTGTTTACTGCCGTGCGTAATGACGCATGGTCAGTGTAAACAATGAAGGATCTATCTCCTAATAGATAGACTCTGAACTTCGCGAGTGCGTACTTCATGGCAAGGAGTTCCTTGTCATGCACTGGATAGTTCCGCTCAGCTGGTTGCAGCTGACGCGACTGATAGCAGACGACACGTTCAACGCCTTCAAGATCGTACTGCATTAATGCACAGCCGATTGCAAAATCGCTGGCATCACAGACCACATGAAATGGCCTGTCCTGATCGGCAATCGCTAGGACTGGGGATTGTATCAAGCTCTTCTTGATACCATCAAAGGAGCGTTGACATTCAACGTTCCATAACCACCTCTCGTTCTTTTTCAACAAACGAGAGAGGTGCACAGTCATCTCGGCGTAATTGCGTCAATACTTATGCAAATACGCCGCTAGCCCAAGGAATTTTCGAAGACCTTTGACATCGACCGGCACAGGCCAGTCGGTGATCGCCTTGATCGTTTCGGGATCAGGACGTACACCGTTCTTACCAACGATGCACCCAAGAAGTGGTATTTCGCTTGCTGCAAATATACACTTCTTGAGGTTTGCATACAATTGATGCTTTCGCATGATTGTAAGAACTTGTCGGACGTGGTACCTGTGAACCTCAACGTCCGACTTTCCATCCATAGCTCGACTATGGATGAATACGTCATCGAAATAACTCGGTGCGAATTCTCGTACTGGTCTCAACAGATGTGATACACATCTGTTGAACGTGGCAGGGGCATTACTGAGCCCTTGTGGCATTACTAGCCATTCCCAGAGCATGCCGCTAGGCGTGCTAACTGTGGTATAGGGTATATCCCGTTCCCGCATAAGGATTTGATAGAAGCCATCCATCAAATCCATGGACAAAAAGATGGTACTCTTTGACATACCATCAATGATTACGTCCTTCCTCGGTATCGGCGTCTGAGCCGGTACCGTTGCAGCATTCAACTTGTTAATTGCATGCACTATCCGCCACCCTCCTGTTGCTTTTCGCACACAGAAGGTCGGAGAGCTATGTAATGAAGTTGGTTCCCTTACATGGCCAGCCGCTAAGCGATCGGCAAAGAATTTGTCGGTCGCTGTGACCTGTTCACGAAGCAGTGGACACTGCTTCATGACACAGTACTTCGAGCCTGGTTTAAGCTCGACCTCGTGTCGAATACCTTTGTCCTTCGGCAACTCGCACGGAACAGTTTCAGGGAATACATCCTTGAATTCAGCCAAATCTATATAGAGAGGATTTGTCTTGAGCGATTCTCACGATTATTAGTCTTATCTCTTAACTCGTGTCTTTTCATCTAGCATACTCTCTGTCCGTAGATGAACTACTGAGAACTCTCTCGTTCTCAGTAAACATTGTTGCTGACCTTATGTCGGCTACACACTCGTCGTCAGCGACGAGTATGCAGATCTGCTTGACTTTGCCACTACACAGATCACGCAAGAACCTTTTATGTTCGAGCGTTGGCAACTGAGTGATCTCCGAAGTTAACTTCGGAGGCGCAATCAGATCAAATGTATAAGCGCCTACACTTGATCCGTTATTGACTATGACATTCAATGTCTCTATCATTTCCTGGGGACTTATTCTCTCAGGCCTCGAAGGACTTATTCCTTCGGCTTCCCGGGGACTTATTCCCGCGGGTTTCGGGGAACTTATTTCCGCCGTATTTGTAATCTTGGGACTTATTCCCTTTACTTCCTCTAGCTGGGGTTGCGCAACCACAGCGAGATCCTCTACGAAAGACTCTCCAGTCGATCTAGGATTATCGTTTCGCTTAACCTGAGCGATCGATTGTTTCTCTTCTAGATGTTCCCCGCTAGGGATACATCTTCGTCCCGGTCCACTCGACTTATTCGAGTGGTGGACCTTCGGCGCAGCCTGTGTTTCCTCACAGCCGCCGGAACTTTGCTCCGAAGTGTAACTGTCTGTTACACTAAGGTTTCGTGCAGTCGTACTAACGACCGTACCACAAGTGAGGCCATCGCACTCACTCGTAGTACATCCACACGCTTGTGGACGCTCCAAAACGTTCATCAGATGGCCATCTGATGAACAAGCGGCAGGCATCGTTACCGTTCGATGTTGCCAGTTTACCCGTGGTTCGTACCTTCTGAGCCACGGTATTCCAAGGATGACATCAAATTTGTCATCCAAATCCAATACGATAAAGTCATCGTCATATTGGGTATCTTCTAGCGTATAGTGGATCTTCACTATGCGCTTCATGACGGTTACGGATGCGCCTGTCGCAAGACGTACCGTAATCCTCGTAGGAGGTGTGTCCCATTCAACAAACTTGAAGTGACCATCTTCTAGCGATTGGCGTCGCAAAAAATTGTTGGACGCCCCAAAATCGACTAGAGCTCG